ATTCTAGTTGGACAGTATCATTTTAGTATGTCTGCACAGATTATTGTACTTTTCAGCTCCAATCACCTAGGAAAGGAATCCTTATATATTTTAGACTGATTAAAGACCATTATATATAAATACATAAATATACAAGGAAGCCTGATATATTTTAGATTGATTAAAGACCTTTATACATAAGTTACTTCAAAAATTAAGACATCTAAGGGAAAGGAGAGAGCTACAGCAATAATGAATGTTACAATATTTCTGGATGTATCTGCCATTTTAGAAATAAGGAAATTTTTCTCCAAAAACATCTTAATTGTAACTATAATCAGCTTCTCAAAAGACTGAATCAGTCATTGCATCTATATTATCATATCAATTCAGTTAAGATTTAAAATGTAAAGTAGAAGGAAAATTATCAGCCTCTTGCACCATCTATACCACTCATACTGCTCGTGCTTTCTACTAAGTAGAACTGATTTAATTGTATAATGTAATTCTGATAAACACAGAAAAACTACTATGGAAGCTGAGGCTTAGTTCAGTGCTAGAAAAGATGGAACAAAAGTGACAAAAGGACAAATCTTAATAAGAGCATCTTTTCTCCCTGAACTTAAGTACATTTTCCTTCCTTTTTTTCAATTACAGGCAGTGGTCTTATCTAGTCTTGACTAAAAATGTCAGTTCCAAAACAGAGATCCATCTAATCAAGCATTATAATCAATAACAGCCAACAGAAGTATCAAATGAAACTTTGATAGAAATGAAATTAATACTTGTCCTGTATTCAGTTCATCTCAGTGTTTTGCATTCAGAGATACTGGCTGTGCTTACAAATAGTATTCCTGAGTAGGGACAAACCTTATTTCCTTTTGTAAGGAAGGGCAACTCTGGGGAATATGAGGAAACTGAATGACAAGGGCCTAATCATATAATTGACAATTTGTGTGATTTGCATGATGACATCACAATACCTGTCATTTTGACATCATTATAATTTACTACTGATATGTATGTTCACAGCTCAGACACATTATTTTTATTCTTAATTATTTTAGCTAATTGTGGCTCTAAGTCAGGGGTGTCAAACTGCCGGCCCATGGGCCGGTTGCATTATACAGAGGCTGCACCCATCCCAGCTCTGGCAATGCAAAAAAAGTCATGATACATCGCGACACATCATGTGATGCAGCGAGTTTGACACCTGTGATCGAAGTGGACTCAATCAGAAAGGCATACCCACCAATGCTTCTGAATAATTCTTCAAAATTGTCATTTAGGGTTAATAGGTTATTGCCATAATTTAATACTTTGCCTAAACTATAAATAATTGAAGAATGTATATAATTGAACTTTAAGTAAATATACATGACTATGGAATTTGATTATGTGACATTAGGGTCATTTTTCTTCAGTTAAAATGCATGTGCTACTACAGCTGTAACACAAATTTGTAACACAGGAAGGAATGAGTCAAGGTAGCAAAAGTTTGTAAAAGGTTTATAGGATTATGCCTTCAGACAGGCAAACTTTCTTCCTAATATCTTAAAAAATGTTTATACCCTCATTCCAGTATGTGCCATGACAATATTTGATAGACTGTCCTGATTTATATCATCTAATTTGGCTTGTTAGGTTTTGGTTGAGTATTTTGACCTAATCCTAGCCATTTTTAGTTTAGTTAATAAAAGATAGCTTAAAAATTTGAATAGTCTGTTAATTAACCTGCAAATATTGTAATTTTTTTCAAAAGCAGTACTGTATTTTCCGGCGTATAAGACGACTGGGCGTATAAGATGACCCCCAACTTTTCCAGTTAAAATACAGAGTTTGAGCGAGAGGGGGGGGGAGAAAACTTGATGAGTAATATGCCAAACCACATGTGTAAAGGAATAAAATAGAATACCCGTATTTTCCAGCGTATAAGACGACTGGGCGTATAAGACGACCCCTGACTTTTGAGAAGATTTTTCAGAGTTTAGAAAGTCATCTTATACGCCGGAAAATACAGTAGTCATTTTTGTCTGACGCAAAAAAATCCTGAACACAGTAAATTTATTAAATATATTTATTGGAGCAAGTTCAGAAGAAATGCAAGTTGCAAATATGCAGGAAAAATCCTTATGAATGGGAGGAGGGAATGTTGATTCTATAGAAATGTAAAGTTACAACAATTAAATGAGACAGTAATACTTTCACAATATTTTGCCACCATCTTGTCACTTAAGTCTTTCTGAATTCTAATTTTTACAATCAGCCATATTTGTTTTGCTTGTTCTTCTATTTTTGTTTAACCGAGGTACTCTATAAATGGAAAAATCTAATATAAAATACATACAACATATATATTGCAGATTATCTTGAACTCTTTATATATGCATTGTGTAATCTTTATATGCATTGGATTTTTATTAAATGAGAAGTATTCATATAAGCCCCCACAAGGAATTTGAAATGTATAATCCAGCTATGAGTTCTGGTCTTCGTCTGTTCTAGAATAAGACTCAATCTCAGCAATATGGAGTGGCTCTGGATTTGAAGGCTTGGTGATTACATTGGTGATTTCATTTTTCCTCCAAACTAGGTAACCCATGACCCATTGGATCATTTCAGAGATATTTTCTACTTAAATTGTTAAGCGGTATGAACATGAATGGGCAAAACAATGAAAGTGAATTCCTATTTCCTGCTTGTTCCCCCTTGACGTTGCTTATGGGAAGCTGGTTAGGGAGTATTGGAAATCATGATCAGCTGTAGCAGCTCTGCAGGGTGATACGGTGCTGCAGCAGTTATAACTTTGCTAATACAACTGGTGTTAAGGTCCTATTCTTAAAATTTCAGTTCCTTGGGGATAGTGGGTCCTAGATTTTTGGAAGCATTTTTTAAGTTAGTCCATTTGAGATGATTCAAAAATTGTTGCTTTATAATGCATTGTTTTGCCCAGTTGAAGTTACAAATGACAAGAATTTTAGCTGTATATAAATAGAATAACAGTTGCTTAAATATCTGGTTTACTTGGTTTGACAACTCATACTTGAGGTGGAAGCTGTGGTCAAGAGAAATCTGCACAACCTCATATTGTGCACCAGTTACAGCCATTTTCAGGAATCCTCACTGAGAGGCCATAATCACTATTACATCCAAGACATCCCTTGGATGAACTATTGCAATGCATTCTTTATGAGACAGCTTTTGAAAAGCATTTGGAAGTTACAACTGGTCCAGAATGCAACAGCTCTGGATCAGTTGTAATGAATGAATGCACATTGAGGCACCCATGTAATAATACCTGTAATTAAAGAGCTGCACTGGTTTCTAGCTGACTTCTGGATGCAATTCAATTGCATCCAGGATGTTACCTTTAAAATCCTTTATGATTTAGGACCTGATATCTGTAGGATTGCCTTCTCTAGATGAGACCTGTTGTTCAATAAGATATACCCATACAGCTCTTTCTGTATTCCCTTAGAGCAGTGTTTCTCAACCTTGACAATTTTAAGGCATGTGGATTTCAACTCCCAGAATTCCACAGCCAGCAATGCTGGCTGTGGAATTCTGGGAGGTGAAGTCCACATGCCTTAAAATTGTCAAGGTTGAGAAACACTGCCTTAGAGGCAAAAGAAATCTTTTCAGTCACCTCCATCCCCACCTCTGGAATAGTATTCCCTTAGATATCATCATCTATTTTTCAGAGTCAGTGATAAGCTGGCTATTCTAAACAGGCCTAGGGCAAGGCTATCCTCAGAAGCAAATGATTTTCACTGTATTTCAAATATACATACATTTTAAATTATTATAATTTTATGGTTTTAGTATTAAACTTTTGTTTTAATCCCAAATTATGGTTTTGTAAAGTCTTATTGATTGAAAGGGATTGTAAATAAAGAACTAGAATTGCAAATGCTATACTGTGGTATATGGTCTTTAATGCTGAAATAGGCTGTAGCACAAGTTGCATTTGACAAGCTTGTTTGAGGTTTATATGCATTTGTTCCAAAGGAAGTTCTATCTCTTGTGGTAAGTGCTGATAGGAAGGTGATAAGGAGTCAAGAAATTCTTTAGCCCCAGCACCTCAGTACTGATATAATACTGATGATTGTAATCATTTCTTTCACAATGTGTCTTATTTGAATAAGCTGACGATCACCTTTTTCTGCTGGAAACTGTTAAATTAAAATATCTGATATGCGGTTTTAAATACCTGTGTGTATAACAGATTTGCACTCCTCTCAATTAATTCTATAGAATTTTTGATGTCACAGAGCCCTGTCTTACAAAGGAGAGAACAAAGTGGCCAGGAAAGAAATGAAAATAGGATTTAGAGAGAATATTGAGTGGCCATCCTCTCCTTGCTGCAGTACGTTTAAACCGAGCCGGGCCGCGCACGTCAACTGTTTCTCTAGCAAGAGGCTCGGGCCTGAGAAGATGCTCCCTGTTTCCCTATGGCTGAGGCGTGTATTTTCTCCCATATCTTCCTCCAGGCGGCAGTGATGGACTCGTCTCTCCTTCACTCGTTTCTCAGCGTGTGAAGGCGGGGGGTGTCGTTGCCTCCGCGGCGCCCGAGCAATTACAGTGCTTCGGGAAAGACTAGAGTGCCTTCGGCCCGGCGAGAGTGTCAAAACCGCCGCTCTTTCGTGCCCGTTATTCGTGCCCGCGCCGCGCGCTCTTTTCATCAGCGCCGTGCCCGCGCCTTTGCGCGATGCAGTGTGGGAATGGCTGTGGCGCTGGGGTTGGCTGAAAGAGGCGGCCAGTCGAGATTTAATGTCCGCCATGTTGGCCGTGGCGTACTGAGCAGACCAGGAGCGGCGAGGAGAGAAACCGGCGCCCTAGCCTGGCCGCGCCACCCGGCGCCGCTGGGACCCGCCTCGGAGCGAGCCCCGCCCCGCCGCGGGAGCCCCGGTCCCTCCATGAGAGCTCTCGGCGGGGTCCGGCTCTCAACTCGGAGCGCTCTCGCTGCCTCCCCCCCCTTTGCCGGAGCAGCAGCAGCCGCCATAGCAGTTGCAGCCGCCGACGACTAACATGAGCAAACTGTCGTTCCGGGCCCGGGCGCTGGACGCGTCTAAGCCGCTTCCCGTCTTCCGCTGCGAGGACTTGCCCGACCTGGCCGAGTATGCCTCGATCAACCGGGCCGTGCCGCAGATGCCCACGGGCATGGAGAAGGAAGAGGAGTCGGTACGTGAGAGACCCCCTCCCGTCCCTACTCCGGCCGGGCCCCGCCATCGCCCTGTACCCAGGCCCCCACCATCGCCTCTGCGCAAGCACAAAATGGCCGCCATTTTCTCCCCGCTTCCTCCCCCTTCCCTCCCCCTATGGGAAGAGTGTGATGTTGAACCCTAATAGCCCCGTCTGCCTTCCCTGTGTATGCCCTCCTAAGATATCTGTATATATCGATTCGAGTGCCAAGGCCGCCTGCCGGGCTCCCCTCAGCCTCCCGAAAGGCACAAAGGGGGTCACGTGATTCGACGGGCAGCCGCCATTTTGTTATGCCTCTAGTTCGTTGGGCTGGGCCTTAATACCGCAGCAGCTGCGAGAATGCGAGCTGAAACGGCGCGGAGGTTCCGCCCATTGGACACTAGGTGGCGTCTTTGTATTAGCGGTCAGGCTACATGGATGGTTTTGAGGTTTACCAGTCTGGAATTTGCTGCTGTCAGTTCTGTAACTACCAGCTAAGTTATGGGAAGAAAGGTAGGCTCTTGAACTGTTTGGATAAGTGATAAACAAGGTGCGTGGTTCAATTTACAGGAAAAAACTACAAGAAATAAGATAAAAAACCTGGTTACTGGTTGATGCTATTTAACTGAAGAGCCCCCTGGAAATATATTGCTGTTTTCCCCAATAAAATTGGCTTGTTGAATTCACTCAATGGTATAGAGAAACAGTTAAATTAATCTGGTCATTTCACCAAGTTGTTTTTTTTTAAAGCCACGAGATTGGCACTAATTAAATTCAGGTTTGAGCAAGCAGCAATAAAAACAGAAACGAGTTAGAAGTCACATATAATGTTCACTTAGTAAAATACTCATCTTTTAACCTTTTAATGTAGTTCACTTACTAAAATACTCATCTTTTAATGTAGCAACTTTAATAATGTTTACTGAAGTACAGAATATGAAAATTTCTTTAGCGTATAGGAACTGCACAATCTTAAAAAACTGGATAAATCACATAAATGGCAAAAAAAATACTTAAGAAAAGTTAGTAACATATTAATACATGCATCATACTTGATTGTAGCACAGAATCCTTGGCATCAAATGTTTAAAGATTGAATTGTAACTTGTTTGTCTCATTAACATTATGGTGTTTAAATTAAAAAAAGCATGCTCTACTTAATTCATATATGTAATAGCCTTTTTTAGTAAAATGTGCTTAATATCAATTTGAAAACTACTTGTTCCTTGAGACCCTGGGTTAATAATAAGTTTGGGAACTGAAAATTAGGCTGCATATAGTTTATCTTGAGTTTGTGCAGCTGCCCACATTTGGATAGATAGAGATGCACTGGCCTCAGGTCCTGCTGTTAGAAATTAACAGATTGATTATATGTGTTTGCTGAGATACTAAGACTCTTAAATTCAGTAAGACTTTCTTACAAGTTAGATCATATAAAATTCTGAACAAGAAGTTCAGAAAGAAGTCAAAACTATAAGAAAAGTTGAAAAGAACGCAAGCATAAAAGGTTTTAAATGAGTCCCGCATAGACTTAATTATAAATTACGTCAAAAATTATAGCATGGATATTCCTGAACCATTCAACTTTGCTAAGTCAGGTATCCCTAAATTTGTGATTATCTCAGTCTTAGAGGAGATCAACCCTGACTGCTCTTTAGAAGGCCAGATCCTGAAGTTGAAACTCAAGGACTTTGGCCACCTAATGAGAAGGAAGGACTCAATGGAGAAGAGCCTAATGCTGGGAAAGATTGGGGGCAATAGAAGAAGGGGACGACAGAGAATGAGGTGGCTGGATGGAGTCACTGAAGCAGTAGGCGTGAGCTTAAATGGACTCCAGAAGATGGTAGAGGACAGGAAGGCCTGGAGGAACGTTGTCCATGGGGTTGCGATGGGTCGGACACGACTTCACAGCTAACAACAAGAACAGGCATGTCAAACTCATGATGTCACGTGACATCACGCGATGTATCGCGATTTTTCCCCCATTGCCAGCAATGGGGTGGGTGTGGTTTTGGCGTTACGCATCCGGCCCATGGGCCGGCAGTTTGACATGCCTGATCTAGAGTCTAGAAGTTGTTAAAACTTTTATGCAAAAGCAATCCTTAAAAATAAATGGAAATTAGGCAGTAATGACTACATAACAATTTGGCATGTGAAGTAGAGAAACTCCTGTTGATTAAGTTTGGCATATTTAAGAAAATTACTGTAAGAATTAGAACTTTTCTTAAACATATAAGCTACATTTGTCTGGCAGTTGCTTGAAAAATATGGAACAATATTTGGATTAAAGAATTTTACTGAATAAAAGTGAGAGCACAAGACTTTACTGTAAATAAATAAATAAACATACAAGACTTAGAGGAAATTAAATGGAATATAACCAAATAGATAATAATACAAAATATTTAGAGTCTATTAACATGTTATTGCAGTATGTCCCTAAGAGGACAGGTCCAAAGACAGACTGGAACAAGAACACAGTTGTCTTGGGCAAGCTACTTTGGTAGAGAAATTTGGGAATGGGAAAAGAATAAAATTTCCAGATAGTTACCACTGGAACTAGCGGCCCAGAAGGCACCTTACTTAACTCTCGTTTTAATTTTAATTAAAACTGGGAAAACTGGTATATTGCAAAACATAAGCTTCTAATGCCATCTTTATTTCAAGGACAGTAATTCATAGCCATCTTAGAAGAAACAATGCTGGCTGCAATTTGAGTGTTTTTCTTGAGATAAGACCAAAGGCCAGCAGGGACGGAAGAGGAGGAGGAAGAAAAAGAAAGGATGTGACAAAAGACTGGTTTCAATAATTTGCCATATAGTAAATGAATGCCACAGTAAATCCAAATAAATCTACAACTAATAGTTGCCCATGCCCAAGACCATCTCCTTTTGTGTAATATAGAATCAACTCTTATATAACTGTAATAACAAAAAATACATTAGACCTGAACTTCATCCCCAAGTCTTACCCATTCTTTCAACTAGAATTAGAGGAACTGTTATTGTCCTGTCCTGCATGTATCTTTCAGGGTTTCTGGTTGTTTACAGTAGATATTCTAACCACTGTTTGGTGCCTTTCTCATTTAAGAAAATACATGTTTCTTTGAGAAAAACAATCAAAATCTTGGATTTAAATTTCATAATATATTCACCAGATTTGTTTAATTTGCTTGAGTGATCAGGCTTTGTCTAATAGCACACTTATGCATAGCAACTTTGGATTAGATAAATATCCTATGCTTAGTTGCCAACATGACCTGTATACATAAACTCCCTTAACCATAAACTGGCTAGATTTCTTTAGATCATTGCTTGCTTTGTTTGTTTGTTTCTTTTTAAACTTATTGCTGCATATCTCCTGTATAGATCCAGTTATTAATATTCTATGTATTTACAATAGCATGTTTTAATGTACAGGTCTGCATATTGCTAGATACTCATGTCACCTATGTTTACTGCTGTAGGGTGGACATGAAATTCAAAATTGTTTTTCTCCTTTGTATAGAAATTGTATCCAGAGTTAATATAGCACATTTGTTTGTGCTTCAGTATAAACAGGATTGCTGCAAAGAATGAAATCTACTGAAATTTCAATAGTGATGACATGTTTAATTCAGATAAATAATGAGATCAGATATTCTCAGTTGACAATAGAATAATAGCAGTATTCTTGATGCTGTTTATTTGGAGAATTTGCTATCACTTTCAACAAGAGTCCAATTTTCCTATAATAGTATTGGAATATAGAATGGAGAGGGTTATGACTATAATATTAAGAATTTGAATATGCAAAATAGCCTTATGAATAAATAAAACTTCTTGGATATGAAACACATAGCTCAATTATCCATTTTTGCAGTGCAGAAAAAAAATTCCAATTGCATTACTATTAGAATTTTAAGTCCTTCTATTTCCTCTTTGACTGCTTCCATTTAATTCTTTCTCCTCATTTTTGGAAGCTAGACAGTAAGTTTTCCCCAGCTGTATGTTAAATTGAGGCTTTTCTCTATGTGACAGTAATGATTGGTTTTGCAAATTAAACTGTGCTTTGCTTAATTGACAAGATTCATATAACAAACTGAGTCCAATCCAAATAGACTATGTTTTTTATTTTATTTTTTAAAAAATCAACAGAATTGTAACTGTAGAGCAGAGGTGTCAAACTGCCTGATGCATCATAGTGAAACCGTGCCTAATCCATTACAATGGCAAAAAACTTGAGTTTCACTCATTAGCAAATTGGCAGTTACTACAGTAGCATTAGTAGTAAAACAATAAATGCAAAGGTAGGCAGCCCATGAAAAACTTAGCCACCACATTTTTACCAACTGTAACTGATCAAGTATCACAGACTGCTCTAATAATCAGAATACAAGAGTAACTATGAAAAACTAGCTAGATTATTTCCATCCAAGATACGATATTCCCATCAAGATTGGTAATTGGTATTTTTGACCATAGAGGACACTCGAGTTTTCAGTGACGTTGATGATTCTAGCTCCAACTTACCTACCTGCTCATTTTGATTTAAGGCAACCCATGTAGAACAGGCAAACTCAACAATGTATGCACCCAAAAAGCACCAACCAACAAGAGTCTCTGTTTGCAAGATTCTGCAGTTTAGGTCTGCTATCTCAGGGTTCCCCAACCTTTCTGGCTTTGCGGACCAGTGGGGATGGTTCATCGTGAGTGGCAGGCACACATGCCCACTGCTCAATCAAACGTGCATGCGCTTGCACACTGCTTGCGCTAGTGGGAATGTGGTGCTCGCCCACCACTCCCTCAGCCAGGTTCCGAAAGGCTGAAGATCTGCTAGTGGGCCACAGCCTGGGGGTTGGGGACCCCTGCACTTATCTAATCACTGCATCCAGTCATTATTTCTGGACATTTATAGCCTCTCTCAAGTTAGATGTTACAACTAAATAAATATATCAGCATGTTATTGATGATACCAGGCCCTGAAAATTCTGATAACTGCCTCCATTAGTTTCATAAAAA